AGTTGAACGTCTCAGCCCGCCGCGAGTCTCCCCTAGCTCAGTGGTGGAGCGTCCGAGGTACTAGCCAGAAGGTCACCGTAGGTTAGACTCCGACTAAGAGCACTCGGAATACTTTTTCTCTGGGTATGCCTGTGTCATTCGCTGAATAACATCTTTCTTCGATACTTATATTTTTGAACGTCATTTTTCTAGATTTAAGATGGATTTTTCATTTTCTGATGTAAAAGGAAGGGGAGCCACATGCGTTTATTCAGTCAGAGAAAAGAAGAGCATTGGAAACCCGCAGAGACTATTCTATCAACTGAGTGATCTGTCTAAAAGATTGTACGAAGAAGCTGTATTCAAAGTTTATGGAACAGCCCCAACTGGGCAAACGTATTTCAAAGCAGTGAGAGGGAGAGAACTAGGTTGACAGTTCTTTTCTAACGAGGACTTTAAAAAATGGGATTACTGCTACTTTTTTTCGTGTTGGGATAGGAAGGGGTCTGGCATATGCATATGCAGTGGTAGAAGGAGGAATAGAACATCAGTGCTTTTTAAGTACCAATTTTGGAGGAAAATCTTAATTATCTTGGCATTTTAAACTCACCGGCTTTCAAACGCCTTTTATAAAAATTTTCGATATTGATGATTTAGAGCTATGTGCCCAGCCTTCCCTGTGGTTTAAAAATTTAATGAGTGTTTTTTACTTGGGAAAATCTTAAAAATGAAACGAAAGGCGATATTTCATGACTCCTTTTGACGTGCGGTTCAAAAGTAGAAGGTAGTAAGCGTATCTTCATATATTTCAAAGGATGAGTAGCGCTTTTTAATTATTGAAGAGATCCAATCATAGTACCTGTGATTCGACCGACATAATTTCAGTCTACAACAAAGTTACTGCAGTCAGAGTCCACCTTTATTTCTTGGATTCGAAACTCTGCTCGCGCGCTTTTTTCAGCGGAATTTTAGCAGTATGATTTACAACAGAAATCTGTGATCATTAGAAGATTACGATTTCAAAAAAGGAGTTTTTTTTCAAATTTTGTTTGTTTTGAATTGGACATGCACACACACACACACACACACACACACACACACACACACACACTCACAGGGCTCGTTCACTTTATTAAAAGACTGAGATGAATTTTACAGTAATGAAATAATTTTTATCTTGAAAGTGAGGAGTTTATCACCACAAGTAAACTGCAATTAAAGTCCATGACGAGAAATATGAAATAAATCTGACTTTGGTGGATATGAATTTGAACCTTCAAAATGTCGTTTGGGACTTTACTACCAACCGAGTTTCACGTACATGGCCACATTTTAGAGGCGAAGAAATTCATCATAAAATGTGATCTCACACGGTGTACATCAAGTAAATCATATTTTCTGACCTGTCAATGAGGTAACTTCAAAGGTAAACTGAAATTAAACTACTAGGAAAAAAGTCGCAAATATTTTCCGATAAGTTGCTACAACCGTGTGTTACCCAAGGCACATTTGCGGAGCCTCGCTCAAACCAGACAGTTATCTTTATTTAGCTCATGTCCAAAAATTGTCAATGCCTTGTGCTCGTTTGAATGCCGACGACATAGTTGCCAGCTTTCTTTTATTACTTTTTTTTACTAGGAGAGCTGAAGAAGTTAGAATTAAAGCTTAGGTGGAGCGAGAGAAATCCGTCTCCGACGGATTTTAAAGTTTTAGTGTTACTCAATACTAAAAAACGTATAAGCTAGTGGGTTATATACTTTTGTCAATCATATACAGGACGATGTTTTCATGGTAGGCACAAGCAAAAAAAATATTGAGGAAATTCTCGTGTAGGTTACAGCGTCGCCGGAGCCAAAATTGGTCCTTTGAGTCAAATTTGTCAGGTGCATTTTCTTTAAATTCTTGATATGGGAAAGATCTGTCTAAATTTTTATTAGGATGAYTAATTTTATTACGTATTGATATTTTCGCGAAAATATCTCTCGTCCAAATATTTTACTAAAATGAAGTTCGCACTAAACCACTTCAAGACAGAATATTAAAATAAAACACAATATGGTACAATGTTAACATCATTGGTAATAAATGCGTCAAAATATTCGATCTTAAGAAATGTTTAAGTTATTTGGTCCCTTCGGATAGGGATAATGTTTCCTCCATTCAGTTCCTGCTTTTGTTTGTTTGTTTGTTTGTTTTTTTCGCTTTAGAGAACAGATCATCACAAAAGTTGTATTTGCTCGTTCGTTCGATTATTTTCAGTTTTATCAAATATATATGCTGACGCATTTTTGGTCATATAAACAGGTTCATTCGTTTTTAGGTAGGAGAGGTTCAATGGAAGACCAGCCCATAAGCTTTGAGCACACTTATCTCAAACTGCGCCGTCCTTAGCTCAAATGTAGTTGCGGTTTGAGAAAGCTTTTCTTTTGAAGACTGGTCCTCTTCTGCATGAGTTAATCCCCGTCCCCTCCTGGCTCACTGTTTTGTGTCTTGGGAACAAATAGGGAACTGCATCTGTGCATCGCTGCTCTCCAGACTGGCACGGTTTCATGGCAAGGCACTCTTCATTGAGAAAAAGATCTCCTTGCGCAGTGAGAACACCATAGGCGGCTAAAACATCAAATTCGTACCTCGCGGTGTTTACATGTGGTCCGTTTGCGGCCCTGTAGTTTTGTCTCGTTCTTTCTTGAATAGGACCACTCTTTTTCGTCATGTCTAAATATTCAAGAATGAGTGAAAGTAAGACAATATTGTACCGCTCTAAAACAATGGGATAAAATGATGGGTAACTCTCATTATTTTTTTCTTAGTTAGTGAGCGGGCGGTATTCTACAGATCCTGCGATCTGGTTGGTTCCAAGAGCGGGCATTAATTACTCTCTCTCACATCCGGCCCGCTCTTAATGGCATTTTTACTACTTGTCTATGCAAGATATGTAATTTTTATCATGTGAAGAAATAAAGACTGTACAGTACTACTTCTCCATGCTCCTGAACCAAATTTATATACAATGACTTAAGTCTTTACTGCTAGGAAAAATCTAAGTCTTTGATCTTTAATTGTTAATTCCCCATCAAAGCGAACTGGTTTGAACAGAAGGTGAGTGCGTGTGGAGATAATACGCATGGATTTTCAAAAGCTAAAAGAAGAAAATTAATAATCATAGTTCATCTCCAATACGAACACCGTCTATCATCTTCTCAAGGGCCTCTTTCATGCTATCCACAACTAGGATAAAACACAAGAGTAAAGTGTTCATAACTATAGTAGAAACAGTTTAAAATCTCCATTCAATGTTAAAATAACACTGTTAGTACAAAAAAGGACTAATAATAACTGGAGAGGGAAAAGAGAGTTGGCAGAATGGAAATAAAAAAAATGAAAGAAGGAAGGGCAAGGAAGGGACAGAATAGGAAGGGAGGACAGGAGGGAGAGAGAAAAAGTGGGACAGGAAAGGGAGAAAGAGATGATGGACTGAAGGGGGAAGGGTGGAATTAAAGGAAGGGATGGGAGAGGATATTGGAAAAGGGAAGTGAACAGGAGAAAAGGGAAAGGAGAGAGGACAGAGTGGATCTGGTTAAAAAGGAAAGAAGGATGAGTAAGAGGAAGGGAAGAAAAGGCAAGAAGTTAGAGAGGGGGAAGAAGAGGAGGAAAGAGAAGGAGGCAGGAGTGCGTATAGCAGAACAAGCAGGGGAGAGAAGGACTAGAGAAAAGGAGGCAGAGAGGTAGAGTGGGAGGTAAGAAGGAGGGGAGAGAAGAGGAGGGAGAAATGGATGGGGAATGGAAGGAGGGAAGAGAGAGAGGGAAGTAATAATGGTAAGTAAGTAGTGAAGAAGCAAGGGAGAGAAGAATACAGAGCAGCAGTGTACAAGGTGAAAGAAGAATAAATATTAATGAACGGATCATTACATAAAAAGTGTCATCCCCATTCTGGTTTAGCATGGGTTGACAATTTGTTACTTTCTTGTGCATGCCTTTCACTTACTTCCTGGTGGACTTCCATAATAGTATTTATACGATGGATTTCCCTTCTTGTTGTAAATATCCTTTTGTACATGACCATATGAATCTGAAAATAAAATTTTAAAAACTGAAATGTATTCAAGGCCACCAATATAAAAACCATTAAAATCAGAACAGCAATCAAAAATACAGAATTTAGAACCAATCTCAACTTTAACCATCCCAGTGACTGTTAGTGTTACTCACCTAGAATAAATATCCTCGGGATATATGCTCCATCAATCTGGAATTTGCTATCTCGAGGCTCCTCATCATCCTATGGAAAAATGTAAATTCAACTCTTAATGAATCCTTTAACTCCCATGAGTGACCAAGACAGAATTTCTCCTAACAATATCAATACAATATCAAGAAGACAAGTGATGAGAATAACGAAAAATATCAATTACGGGATCAATCTTGATCAAGTATTATATTCCCAAAAGTAACTTTATAAGAAGAGTATGGCAGACAATAAGGAGAATTGCTAAAATGAGATCTTGGGAGTGAAAGGGTAAAATCTTGAAGCCCACACCACCACAGCCTATCGAAGTCTCCACAGCCTGAAGTGACCAGGCTCCAGTTGTTCAAAGGATGGATAACTCTATCCAATGGATAAATCGCTATCCATTGCATAAGTGTTGACAAAATGTACTGCGCTATCCACTGGATAGAGATTTATCCAGTTCATAGCATTATCCATCCTTCGAACAACCTGGGCCTGGAGTATAATTGGTTACCCCTGGATTAGGACGCACCTCCTGAGTGAGAGACGCCATAGGCTGATGGTTAGTTCACTGGACTCTGAGCTGGGGGGGGGGGTCTGGGTTTAGGCTTGGGCAAGGCCACTCTGTGCATCCCATCCAGAGGGGAGTAATACTCCTAGTTCTTTCAAGCTATGGAAACCGGGATAAACTCCAGCTGGATTGGCTATTTGAGTTGAGTATAGAATTTTATTTAACCAGGTTGGGACACCATCCATTGCAAGTTATGCAGCATGCTTTGTCAGATTTCAGTGACTGTTCACCAGTGGCAAAATTTGCCACTTGGCTGGGAGTCACTGGCAGTAAGAGTTCAGTATCATGCGTATAAGAACACAATACAGTGACCAACTAAGCCAGGGCTGGTAACCTGATCTCTTCACCCTGTGTCCAGTATGCAGTACCTCAACATTTATCATCACAAACTTCTTGCTTAATTCCTCTATCTCCTTTGATTCTGCAAATTTTGGTTTGAGTGCTGAAAGATAGGAGGCAAAAATATTAGGACTGAATCAGCAAATAAAACAATAGGAAGCAATTTATAAGTTGTGAGCTCCTCCCAAATACATCCTTATCTCGTTTAACTTTTCTTTAATTCTTTTGACAACAAAACTGTGCACATCATTAATATATATGGTTAGCATCTAAAAGAATGGCAACACACACACACAGAGTATTCCTTGAATGCCAGTTGATAGTCTTAACTAAACACTTGAACCTTGAAAGGTTTTGAGAATTGAGAATCATTGACAGAAGTTCAAGTTGCAATTTTAAGCTTCAAGAAGCCAGAATCAAGTTTTAGACCCTCAAAGAGCTCTTATATCCTTAGCCTTCAAATCAAGTGAGGCTCTTTTCAATCAATGATACATGTAAACATTCATAACCGTTTACTTCTCGTAGACAACTCTCAGTCTGATTATCGCCTAGAGTGTGAAACTCAAGTAACTAGTGATAATTTTCTTCTTTCACATTATTTTGTATTTTGCTCTGCACATTTCTGCATTGAGCACTCCAAGGATAAGTGAAACAACTTTATTTCTTGTTAATTCGTTTATATATATATATATATATATATATAAACGAATATATAGAAGCAAATGGACTACTCAAGTTGCGCACCTATGGATTTTAATACAGCCTGAAAACAAATGCCCTTTAGGAGGGGAATGTTTGCAAAGCGAGGTTGTCTACCAAGCCACAGTCGCTACCAGGGAGGAAACTGAAACGTACGTCAACTTCGGTCGTGTATCTTTGATAGATCCTTAGTTGGGTTTCACATGGGGTTATAGGCTTTCCCTACCCGGTCACCTTGAAAAGTTAAATTTCCCAGGAGGCCATGTCTCCGATCACATAAATCACATCTTTGATTGCCGTGTTGCCAGCATGGTTGTCCTGATAGTGTAGTGGTCATCACAGCTGACTAGTAAAAGGAGGGACGTGGGTTCAAATCCTGCTCAGGGCAAATTTTCTTTTCAAACATTTATTCTATTTAAGTATGGTTACTTGGGGTGTAGAGGGTCAGGGTTTCCCTTACATACAGAATATATATATATATATAAGTAGGTTGTTAATGGAACTCTCAGGCCAAAAAAGGTGCACCGTGCCCGGAGGATCAATAAAGATTCGCAGTCCAAACCTCACAGCCAACACAAACGTAGAAAGTTTAAAACATTGCGAGGATGGACAACTTCTGACATAAAAATATAAAAAATTTAATAAAAAACATTTCAGTCAGAGACCTTCTTCAGTTATTTACAACTTTTGAAATAAATAAAGAGCATTAAATAGGATCGAAGTGCTAATGATTACGTAATTACAGATAATGACTAATGAACTGGTGCTAATAAACAAAAAACCTAATTACAAAGAAAGCAATGGACAAAATACAAGAAACAAACCCTAAAAACTAAGAGATAAGAATACTAAATATGTTAATATGAGTGGCGTAATCAATTGCAAAGAAGCAATGCGGCGAGCATTAAAAAAGGGAAGGCCCACTTTTTACTACAACTGTAAACCGTAACAAAATCCCAAAACAAGGCCTTTGGAGCCCGAAAGGGCAAATTAGCAACAAAATCCCTGGAGGGGCCCTTAAATGATACTAATCATAATAAGATCCCTTGGCAGGGCCTCTGAGTCCAATCCACACCTAAAGGGCCGACAAAATCCAAGAAAAGGGCCTTTGAACGATCAATTAGTAGCGCCTAATATAAGATGGAAAATTAATTATAGCAAATTCTATTTTTCGAATGAAATTCCTTTCTTTTATTCAAACCATGGGGTGCCAAAGAGAACAACTGAGCACTCCAATAAGCCTCTTTTGTGATTAAAAGCCTATCGATCTCTGCAGAGCCACTAGGGGCCTGTACCTGATCAATGCATTGGAACGAAAAATCGTCCAGGGTGTGTGGGGTTTTGTTGAAGTGTATCGCTACTTCACAAGTTGTTTTGTTTGTGAGCATAGTAGATTTGTGATTTCGAAATCTCACTTTAAAGTCGGTGGTAGTAGATCCCACGTATTGCAGGCGACATTTCTTACAGGAAGCCAAGTAAATCACATTTTTAGAGTCACAGGAAAGTCTAGAGTGAATGGTGTAATTTTTGCCCGTCTGAAAGCTGAGAAATGATTTAGATTCAACAAAGAAATTCTGACAGAGGTCGCATCTTTTCCTATCGCATTTAAAGCAGCCATTGTTATGAGGAATGGTTTGTCTCTCGCTGGCAGTTTTAAAACGAGATGGTGCTAACAATTCTTTGAGATTTTTCGATCGACGAAAAGATGGTATGATAGAACTTCGAGGAAAAAGTTCTTTCAATTTGGGGTTAGATTGCAAAATAAACAAATGCTTTCTGATTATGTTGCCTACGTCGGGCAAGTTAGGATTAAATGTA